AGGGCAAGAAGGAACCGTCGTTGCCAAGTTGACCGTGTCATGGACATGAGCATGACCACATCGGACTGCCTGATGGACATGAGCAATTGAGCACTGCTTTTATGTGTGAGCGTAAGGATTTTCCGGTATATTTAACCGGAGAAATGGCTGGACACGGACTGGATTCACCAAAACCGTTTTCTTTTCATTTCCAGTCACGGTCTGTTGAACGACAAATGTCAAAATAATGTGATCTGGACAGGGAGTGGAATTGCACCAAAACCTCTCTATTGTATGAACACTTCTACGCCCCACTGCTGTAATAAAGAGCATAATTTTGATAGCATAGGACACTAGACCGATCGTACTCAATCAATTCGACTAGTTTTCTGGCATCCGCGACAGCATGGGCGAGTCAAAAGAAATTCAGACTAGTTATGGGCATGTTTTATGATTGCAATGGAGTGACCATGTCGTACACAACCCAACAACTGTATTCTGGCGTCACAAGGCCCTGCAAGCAAGTTGAAGAAAATTTATTGTCGTTAGGCTAAATTTTGCTTTCATGGACCCCAGTTGCACTCCATCTCCCATAGTTTTCTCCCACAGTTTTGGCGTGTGCTATACAGGTGATCAACCTCAATAGCGTACGAAGAGATGCGAACGTGAATACACTAGGATAGACTAGTTTTCTACTCACAGTCAACTCACGCAGTCGGCTGGCCTGCTCGCTGAACAAATACAGGTATGGTTAATGTTACAACAAGTTGGTCGTGGTGCGAAAACTTCCATAACTTCTTCCTAAGAAGATATATTGTCATTCTGAAGTGTGCTATCTATATCTAAGCAACTAGGCGAGTTCATTGCGCTTTAAAACAGCTCATTTCGATGAAAACTGAAGGTGTTACGGGTGTTTACAGTTAAAAACTCACTCATCGGAGCAGTGATTTTTGACGCTTGGTTGTGAAGTGAGATGAAACAATAAAAAAATCTGAAAATAGCCCTGAAATCGTCTCTTTTCATTGGCCATATTTGTGCCAAATTTCAGTCTTTTCTGACCATTTTGGTCAGAGAAACAGATTTGACTGTGAGTGTAACAAGTCTCTATTACTTTAGTTGATTTGTCAATTGCGAACAAAATTTACCTGCTAATTTTAATCCTTGAATATTATAGGATTTTACAATACCTGAAAACAAAACATACCCGTGAAATTCTATAATATTGACGTGCATGAAAGCGCCAAAATACAATAATGGCGCCAATGAATGTAACGCAGCACCACCGCCTTGCTACGGGACGACCAGTCATCAAGAACTCAAGACGAGTTGCTCCTAAGCATCAACACACCTTCCACACGTACCAAAAGAAGCTACACATCATCAACTGGCGAAAAGAACATTCCATGGACTCTGCAAACGACACCTTCTTTCCTGGTTTGACTGAAAGTGAGCGCAAAACGACATGGAAACAAATTCTACGTTGGGAAAGCCAGCGCGAACACATCACCAAAGCAGCAAATACGCCAACAACGTCAACTATGCGCAACATTCGTCGCCAAGGCACTGCAACAACTTTGCCGCACAACGCCGAAGAAAACCTGGCACAATGGGTCGTAGAACTGCACGCCGATGGGGTTCCAGTCAGCAATCTCCTGCTCCAATCAAAAGCCCTTGAAATTGCAACTGAACTTGGGTTTTCAAGTGACCAGTTTAAAGCAAGTCCTACCTGGATCAAGGGTTTCATGCGACGTTGGAAGCTCTCCATGCGAGCGAAAACCAGATCCGGGCAAGCCAACCTAGCCGATGGTCAGCGAGCTCTCGAGGAATTCAAGGAGTCAATTCGAAAAACGATTCAAGAAAGCAACATTAGTGAAGTGTATAACGCCGATCAAACAGGTATTAACTATGAGTACCTACCAAAGCAAACCATTGACCGACAAGGCGTAAAGACGGTGTGGATCAAATCGTCGGGCCACGCAAAGGACCGAATGACTGCTATGCTGCTGGCGGACACAAAACGAACCAAATATCCCCTATTTTTGGTTCTCAAAACACAAGCGTCAAAAATCAAAGCGGTTGTCCAAGAAATCCTTACTCAACGCAATGGCTTTGAAGCACGAGTATGGCGCGAAATTGAAGACCTCCACGCCAATTTTCCGCTCCAAATCTACGGAAATCCGTCAGCATGGTGGAACAGTGCAATTTCGATTCATTTTCTAAATTTCCACTTTGGCCGTCGTCGTGGTCAAGATGTCCAAAAGGTGATCCTCCTATGGGATGACTTTAGTGCACACTTTACTGACGAAGTCATGCAATGCGCCAATGAGCTAAACGTCGTGCTTGCCCGCGTTCCTCCAACATTTACCTGGATTTGTCAGCCGGTGGGTGTAGCATGGATGAAACCTATAAAGGCCAAAATGCGACTCAAGTGGGCCGAGTTTTTGACAGCGCAAAATACCTCAAATGGAAGCGGTGGTGGCAAATCCTTTCGATTGCAATGCCCAGAACGATGGGACCTTGTGGAATGGATTCACGACGCATGGGACACGCTCCCTACAAGCACAATTGTGAGTGGATTTGTGAAATGTCAGATCATTGATGCAGACACTTCCCCCAGTGATTTTGACGTGCCCGATGCATTGACCCACATCGAAAATGACGGCTTCTTGCAAACCCTAGTCGAAGCAGGAGAATTTGAGGTGCTAGATCCAGATGACAACATTACCGATGGCCTGGACGGAAGTGAGGACGACGATGAAGACCATGTCCGTCCTAAGTAGTTAGATAATTCTTTCATTTATAGCATTCATTTGACTTACGCTTTTTGCATATGTACGAATGTGTGGGCACTCTTGACCTCTCCCGTGCATGCATCATGAGTTCAGGGACTCCTCCGAATACCAAAGGAACGAGCTAGCGCCGGTATCCGGCCCAAAAATATCAACAGGCAGGCCGAGGCGACCTGTTGACTAATGGGAGCGCGGGCCTTTTGACACTAACTCGCTTCGCTCCCCGAAATCGGTACAGTAATGCCAATTCACACCTGACGGGAAAGGTCGCGAGTCGCCCTGTCCGGATATCATCCGGATGGCTCTGTGGAGGACGGCAAATTGGAAAATGAACCTTAGTTTGGAAGGTCACATCACAATTGCATCGTTGGGCTGTTTTTTCTAATTGACCTAGAATTCTTTATACTTGATTTTGAATGACCAATTGTGTCATTTTATAATCTCTTTGTTTGCATAGTAAAGATTGCCTTTGTAGAAAATCCTCTCTGTTGAAACTACTAAACGTGATATACTCTTGCAATTCATATTTCCGTTGGAATTTCGGATATTACTTTCTGGAGGAAACTGGCAGAGTCAATCACCAGCCTCGTCACATTTGTTCGCAATTGACAAATCAACTAAAGTAAATAGTTTTATGGAATAGTACTACGTAGTACGTATTAATACAGTGAACGGGGAGATTTAAGCCACACCTCGAATCGAAGTAAATCATATTATTGGAATATGATTGGAGGGAATACTACGAAGTTCGATGAATATTGTGACCAATGAGTAGTGGTCAGTACCAGTACTTCACTTTGAGGCCGTGACATCCTGGGTTCGACTCCCGGCAGACACACGTTTTTCTTGTCGGTTTTCATTTAACGTATTTTGGTCACATTCAAAAGCCCTTTAACGTTACTGTCATTTGTGCGGATGGAGATTTGTGATGTCCATTAAACTACGTTTGTATTCATACTATTAATAGTAACGGACGTATGAATAGGCCAGACTACACGTACTGCACGAGATTTCTGTGTATAGAAAACGCGAAGTTAACCATGTTACCACATTGTTAACCTCGACAAATAGCTGCTAAGCAAATAGTATCTGCGAGAGCTAACTAGCTAGGTACACTTACCTACGTGGCTAGTGTCAACGGTGGAGACCCAACAAAGTGGACTCGGCCAAAACAGGGTGTTTCGTGAAAGTTGTCCTTGTTCGGTGCATTCCACGCGCCGCAGTGTTGGATGGGGAACGTGGTGGCGTTGGTGACCTTGCGCATAAAGTTCATGCGCCACAACGTGTCTTGGGGGGTTGTTACGTCGAACAGTGCCAGTGGCAGCTCGGCCACGGACACCCACGAGTTACTGGCGCGGTCAGTCTCGGTCACGACGTCGATGCCGAGGGCCCGCGCTTCAGTGGCGTTGTCGCCCACGTAGAAGTGACCCACGGGCGGACTAAAGTCCTTGCGAGGGTTCAAAATGTACGCAGAGTACGTTTGGTTGGTGGGCGACACTTCGAACTCAAAGTACTCGACGGGGTCGTCAGTGCCAAGGGCGATGAACGCTTCGTACACGTTGTATTCCCAAATGTTGTCGTTGTGGCCGTACGATGGGTTTGTGAAGAAGCTCGTCTCGTCGTGGGTGAAGAACGCAACGTGGAACGAAGTGTTTGTGTAGCACAAGTCCACTTGGGTGCCGGGAAATGGAATGCTGTGGTTCACGAGAGTTTGGGCAATGGCGATCGACGTCAGGACTGGGCATTCGAACACTTGGATCGATGGCACTGGAAAACATCCCAGGGCGTTGTCGCTTATACCGTGAGGGAGTGGTTGTGGTGGACGCATAGCAGCGTAGTTGCTGCTCACGTCCGGTGCGTCGACGTTCTCGACACTGTACGAGATCCCGATGAGAATGCTGCACAGACTCACGCATCCGACAATGAGCCACAAAAGCGCGAGGGGCCGTGGAAGGCGTCGTTGGGACACATGAGGTGACATCGCGGCACCATCACGTTGCAAGGAACTTGGCGGCGACAAAGGAATCGATCCATACATGTTTTGACGTGGCGTTCTTCGATCTTGGCGGCGATTTGTACGAATGGAAATGTGTCAAAAAGATATTCAAGTCGCGTTTCTTATTTCGGGAGTTACCGTCTGAAACAAGTCAAAAGCCCAATCAAATGGATTCGTTAGAAACGTTTGTTTCCTATCGAGTGGGGTACTACTACAAGGTACTATTAGTATGTCTTATTTATTGCCTAATGCTGGTTAAAATAAGCGCTAATTTGATTGTTTTGTATATTGATGGGAGAGGCCTACTAGCATTTGGTGGTCATTATTCTGTTCTTGGAACAAGTGAGCAACATGTCGATGAACAAGCTGCAGATGCAGCTGAAGAAGAAGGAAAAGGAACGGAAGGCTGCAGCCAAGAAGGGGAGTGCTACGTCCACGGAGTCCAAAGCCAAGGCCGCCGCCGATGCCCAGGCCTTCCAATGCAAGATCTGCCTCACGCCATTCCCAAGGACGAGCAAGGGACCGCAGATGATTGCGCATGCCGAGTCCAAGCATCCCCGCGTGTCACCCGAAGAATGCTTTCCGCAGCTACAGAACGTCGGAAAGGGATAATGCCTCACTATCTTGTTTTTCGTCCTGTCTTGGTTTTAACCACGAGTTGGTAGCGTTGGTATGACGAGAACAAGAATTGTTGACTCTGTCTACACGAACTTCAGCAACCGTAGTAAAGCTATATACGGGTCTGGGTACTAGTATCACACATACGTAACATTCACAGTCGAAACGAATGAAAGCTATGGCCAAACGCGCAAATCCATGCATGTTTGGCTAGTGGACTTTACAGACTCAACCCAAGTGTCGATACAAATTCCAAGAGTCCGAGCTTTGAAACTGATATTGAAGCCCTGTAAATCTTTTCGTGAAACGTCACAAATCCAATATTGAAACTTGGCAGGCAGGGTGGACTTGGTCATCTGTGATGCCAAGACGAGGAATCCACTTTCTCCGCGGCGTGGCTCGCCAACTCCAACCAAGGAGGCACCTACATCACGTACTCGGGCTTGTGTTGCTTGTCGGCGCCGTGAGCCGGACGAACGGTGTTGTCACAACGTTGTACTTCGCTTCGTTCCTCATCGGCATGGTGCTGTCCTTCACCCGTCGACGGATGTGGCTTGGTGTGGTTGTCATGTCTCTTGGGGGGATCATGGGGCAATGCGTCGTCGCCGGTTGGCCCGCGTACAAATCCACGGCATGGTGCCGAGTCACAGGGCTACACTTCACACCGTACAACATCGTTGTGGATGCCGCCGTTCTTGTGACCTCTACCGTGCTTTTGTGGACTGATCGGCAATTTCCCTTGCTACATGCGTAAGCCTCGTTCAAGCCATGCAACTACATGCATACTCATTGAACGATTCTCTACATAATGTCTGCTACAATGTAGGAGACCAACGCTCCAGCGAGAAGTGTCGGGGGTGCGCGCGCTTGCGTTCGTGTTCAAGAGGTGCCCGGTCTTGCACGTGTGGGTGATGAAGCTCAAGTTCCACGAGAGCATCCACGGCCTCTTTGCCTTCTTCGCCGAAGTGCTCATCGGCATATGTTTGTTCACTGCGGCCCTCTCGTCCCGCAGGGCATTTGGGGCGGTCTACTACGTGCTATTCGTTGGGCGGTTGGCGGTGTGGTCGTTTTGGACTCCACGACTGCTGCCCTCTCAAGGCATAACGCAGATGCCAACCCCCGGCCATCCCAGGGCGCCGTCGCCGCCGCTGCTCAAGCGAACCGCGTCAAACCAAGACCATCCAGACAAGCTGGTGATGGCGGTGCCTACCGAGTCATTAGCGGGGAATATGAGCACGGAGGTCGATGCAGTTATACTGACGACGTATCGTACCGGCGGAGAGCAAACGATAACCATGCCTCCCCCGCATCCGTTGATAAACAAACCCATCGTCCAAGGACTGCTCCTTTACACGTTTAGTGTCCTTGTGCTCTGGTATGTCAAGCCCCTTCTGCCAAATGCTATCCCCTCAGTAAACTGCTTGGATTCCTAATGTCACTATGGGTTTTGTAGTCACGTGTTTCAATATGCAATCATGCGGGAGGTGGCGGTTGTGCAGACGATTGGCGAGTACGCAGGGATGTTTGCATTGCCAGGCGTACGTTCCTACTCTGACAAGTCACAACCACGAATACACTGACGCTGAAACCAACTTTACTGGTAGACTGTCGCCACCAACTGGCTCGGCTACGTCTTCCTAGTCGCCGTCTCCAACCTGTACATTTGTCTGGCCAAAATGCTGTCGTTCTATGCTTCGTACGACGACTTACCACAGACAACCCCAGCCCGCCGCCAAGCTCAAGTGCCAGTGATAATGCGCGTCCTCCGCAACGAGCTGGTGGCCACGAGCATCGCAATGTTCTGGGCCATCTCGTACCCTTCGTACGCCAGCTTGGGCTTGTTTGCACTGGCGATGCTCGCGTTGGTGACCCACGGATTGCACGACTCGGTCCAGTTCAAGTCTGCGTCCACCATCCAGCCGCTTCTTTTGTCCATAACTACTGTATATGGGGTGTGCACGGGGCTGGTGCAGTATGCCCTGATGCTGCCGGCGCTGCATCCCTTCGTATCGACCAATCAATTTGCGTTGCTGGGGTACACGGAATTGGACCTAGCGATTCAGAATGCCGCGCTCGTGGGCTTGTGTTTGTGCCAACGTGCGCGGTGGCGGTACCCCCGTCCGGCCAGTTTTGTGCCAACCATGGGGGCCTCCACTGAAGTATCTCCCCCGTCGCTTTTTCGGCAATCTTTTCCTCCGCCCGCATTGTTTGGCCATGCTACAGTGAGTGCCAAAGTAATCAACTTAACGAAATCTCGTCCATGAATATATATATATATACTGTATATATCCATGGTTATGTTGTAGTGGCATGCATACCATGCGCACATGCAGGCATGGTGCCAAGATGCCAAAAGCGTATGGATTGGACATGTCGACTCGATGGTGCTGTTTACGATTTACGGTCCGCACCTTGTCATTCGTTGTTCCTGTCCATGTATAATTTTAATATGTATGTTTTTTTACCTAGTTGTGGTTCTAAGCACGTCTGTCAACTTGTTCCAAACGGGGTCGCTGGTCTTGGCGTCGTATTTATCGCTGTTTCACCACCATCGCCGCCGACTTTGGCGCGTCTTACTGGTGTATACGCTGGCCGTGTGTCTAACGTTGTACACGTGGAACATCTCGTGCCCCCCTTCGACCCCCCTGCTCGAACTGGTGGGGTTGACGTGCTATCGAAACAACAATGCCAACCCCGCACAACTCGCGACAAGTGTAAGCCCCCTACTTCCAGCAACTACTGTTTCCTCTTTGTTCATAGTTCTCTGCGGCTGTTTGCCTTAGGCGCTGGACAACAATACTTCCTCGGGGGCGACACCTGGGACCCCATCCGTGTCGATCCCTGCCTTGACGACGTTATGGAGCTCCCCTCTATTCAACGCCCAACTAGTATTGATTGCCCAAGTCGTGTTGCAGCTTGTACTTTACTCGAGAACGTGGCATCACGTTCCCCCTACTACAAACGTCGTATCAACTGAGACGACACGTGATACCCTGCCATGGTACTTTCTATCGACCTTGGTCGGTGAAATTGACCGCGTGTTTCGCTCGGGGGGGGTGATTGTGTGCTACATCGTGCTGCTGCTGCTCGCGTTCAACTGGGAAATTCGTCGCGGCCACGTGACTGTGGTGGGGTTCATTCAGCTGGCGCTCTTTTGCGCGTTGGTCGACTCGCACATGTCCAACATCGTACAGTTTCCCCGAGGAACGGCGCATTACGGCAAGCTGTGGCGACTCGTGCTGATCGTGCAGGTGGTGGTCGTCGTTCTGCGGTACTTGTACCAGTTCGACCCCGTGTCGCAGGCCATCTTGACGCATTGGCTGCCCACGTTTTGCACCATGGACGACATTGGGTTTGACTCGCTGTCGTCGAAAACGCACTTGTCTAACTTGTTTGCATACTTGTTTCCAACGATTGTCGTACGTGGTCCTATTCCGTAATTCTTCTTCGTTTTCATACAACTTGTGTAGATGGCCGGGCTGGCGGCGTGGCAACTCGCTAGCATGAGTGCTGTACCAGAAATGCGATGGGAGTTCCCATCATCGTTCAAATTTCAGCGGGAATGGAGACACCTGTGTCACGCCCTTTCGTTCAGTTCGTCGCTGTTAGTCGGTCTCGCCGTCATCTTGGCCACCGACTCGATCAACTTGATGGGGTTTCTGTACTACATGAGCGCTGTGTATGCTGTCCTGAAGCGCCAGTACATGGTGGCGTGGCCATATTTGTTCACCACGTCCAGCTTTGTGCTGCTGAGCACGTACGTGTTGCAGCTGAACTTGCCTTGGTTCAATACACCGGAGGCGACGCAAACTGGTCAGTGGCTCGGGATGGCGCGCCTCGACGACACTATGAGCTTGTGGACGGTGAACCGAGTGCCGCTTGTGATGATCGGTCTCTGTGCCCTCCAACGCCTCGGCAGCGTCCTCCTACCGCCGCCGACAGCCGCTGCCGACACGGACGAGGCAGACAAACCGCCCCCTTGGTGGGAATTTTACACCAACCATGTAGCACCCGTGTTCACAAGGGATACGCACGTCACGATTCTCATGCTGAGCCTGCTCGTGTCATCCTTTGTGCACTTGAACGTCGTGTCGATGGCGTATATGGTGGCGGTGCGTGGCATCATGCTGGCGGATTGGGACGACCCGACTGTGCACCACCGGTGCATTCGCAGGCTCACTATCCTTCTCGTGGGGGTGTCTGTGGCTCAGTACTTGGTGCAGCTGTGGTTCCCGCCTTGGCTCGTGGCGCCGCAGCCGACGCTGCCTCCGTGGACGTGGCTCGACCCGCCGTACCAAGCGTGGTTGATGCTACATTTTCAAAACAAGTGGTCTCTCCTCGCGGATTTCATGGCGCTGTTCTCCGTGTACTTGATAGCGCCTCCTCCCCCGGTAGCAGCTCCATCAGGTCCGCTCTCCTCCGACAACCCCTGCATCATGCCATCCAAGGTCCCTGCTGCTGGCCCTGCCCTGGCTACGACCACCACGACAATTTTACCCCCACCACCACCACCATATCAAGTGTTTGTGGCCAATTACTCGATTGTGGTCGTGTTGGTGTGGGTGTTTATCACTGGCTGTGCCCAATTCGGCGTCGCCTCTGGGCTGTATCTTGGCTGGTCGATCTACATGCTGTTTCACCTTGACCGGTTGGATTGGCAGCCCGTGTTGCTGGGGTCGTTGCAGAGCTACAACTGGTTTTACCTGCTGCTTCTAGTAGTGTACCAATGCCCTTGGTTTAACGACATCACCCAGACGTGCACCCTGGGGACGAACCAGCCCCTCGGAGATGGAATATGTTTGTCGCTTCCGGTGGCGTTGGGGCTATATAAAGCCCCCCGCAACATCGACTCGTCCAGTCCGTCAAGCAGCAGCTCCGGTCCGGCCAGCTCGACCAAGCTGTCGATTGCTATTTTTGTCATGATTGCCATCCAAATGCAAGTGTTTGCGTCTGCGCCGTACCGCCTGGTGCTGGAGGTAGGTACTTATCTCAAAGCGTCTCTCATGCAAACCCTTCAATACATTGTGTGAGGTACTAAGTCATGAGTACTTTGATACAAATCCATTAGAACCATCGCAAGGAGCAAGACCGGTGTCAAAAGCGAGGGTACGCCATGAACGACGAACTCGCCAGACACCGCATTCAACAGTGGCGGTACCTAAAACTGGAAAAACAAGCCGCGATCCAACGGCTCAAAGCGATCGTGTCCAAATTAGTCAACAAAGTCGAAGAAATGATGGACATTGCCATGGGGTACTTACTACTCACTTACTACTCGTAGACCCCCGCTAAGAAATCAAACGTCATATTCACCCATCATTTCCTTGTTAGCTTGCACTATTCGCTACCCCCCATGGCCCCCCATCGCCCCACGGTATTGTCCAGGTCCCAGAACTCTATCACGTTGGCATGGACCGCCCCCGACAGCAAAATGCACAAAATCAGAGGCTACCGCATCTCCAGACAGACGTTTCCGTCCGTGACGCTCTTGGGTGACTTTGGCGACACGGTGACCGTGCGAGCCAACCAACGGACGGCGGAAATCACTGGCCTACGACCTGGCACGAGCTACCAGTTCAAAGTTGCAGCTGTTTCTCGTATGGGCGAAGGGCCGTTCAGTGTCGCCAGCGAGCCCGCAGGTAAAACAACATACATCTTCTTACTGTTCTCATTTAATCATAAGCCATACCACATGGCATTTTCACTAATCATGTACTCGTATAAAATCTGTAGCCACGATTGAATTGGACTGGGGAGAGTCGTGTACAGCGGGGTGGATCAAGGCCCATCGCACGACGAGCGATCACAAAAAGACTTTGGCCAACTATATTGAACTGTACCTGCCGTGGCTTGTCCCTGCCAGATATGCACAGGTATTTCTATTTGTGTTGTTGGATATATATATATATATATAGGTTTCGATGAATATATATATATACATATGTACTACGTAGTACCATGCAAAAACATGACATTTCAATAGCGCTATGTGGTGGTGGACGATTCGTCCATCACGTTTTACAAGACGGAGGTGCTGGCCCTCAAGCACCGACGTCGCGACGCCATCTCCACCCGCTCGAAGCCCCGCCACCCCCCGCCTCCCCCTGCGGCGGCGTCTTTGAAGGGAGTTCGGAGGCAGCATTGGCAAACGTACTTGTTGGCGCAAGTCACGAGCTTGGACTTGTCCGAGACCCAAATTCAACTGGATGATATGTCCCCCCTTTTGTACTGCATCGAGGTCACCGTTTCTAGTACTACTAGTGCAGCTACTAGCAAATACCCTTGTTCCGTGTCGTTTTCGCTGCAACCAGACGAGGCGGGGCATTTTGACAAGTGGCTCGTGGCGCTCATGTATGTCGTGCCCCCTCAAGCGCTTGGCGCCAGGATCCTCGCATATCGACAAGCTCAAAACCTGGAATTCCCCGAGAGGATCATGCGAACTATACTGGCACCACTGACTGCAGTCAACGACAGTACTACTACTAGTAATACTACTAGTAACCATCCCGTGGACAAGACCAGTCGCGCCAACGTTGTCGGCAAAGCTTCATTGTCGACGGCGCTGTCGAAAATGATTGACCAACCGACTCGAAATGCAATCTATGCCCAAGTGTACCGAGTGGTTTGGGTATCTATATATATACACCACACGCTGATTTATATATATATATATATATATATATATATATATATATATATATATTATAGTGACGGGATTGGTGTAGGCCCTCCAAGACAGCGCGTTACAAGGAGAGAGTGTGGCGTGCACGGACGACATTGAGGCTGACGTGTTGCCACCTTGGAGTGCCTTTCGGGTCGTGGTTACACAGGCCTTTCGTAGCCACAGTGCCAAGCTGTGCTACTTGGCATTTGTCATATCGTTTTCCCGTCAAGTAACGGACACTAGTATTACTATGGCGAGCTCACAAATTCCATACCAGGGCGATGTCCTCAACTTGGTGTACGTGATGGTGTTGTTTGCAATCCTGCTTTGCGAAAACCCCCGACCGCACGCAGCCTTGTGGAAATGGGTCTTGAAATATGTGCGTGTTATAAACCCTAGTTCTATCCACGTTGTCGCCTACTCCTGTGACTTATGAAGTACTCTAGTCGTTCTTTGTTGTCCTCGTGCGGTACATGTTTCAATTGCCGTTCTTTTGCCACCAATACACCCATTCCCACGTGTTGTATCCAAGGTACACCTACCTACCAACCAATACATATTTAAATATATATACATGTATATATATTGCTTATATATATTATAATTACTTCTTATATATTATACATATACTCCTTATATATATACTTCGTAGTATATATAATACAGTCACGACAATCGTAATATTAAAACTGCCTCCACTGTGTTATTTGCTGTAGTTTTCAGCCGTTTTGCCCGTCAAGCGCTTGGCACGCAGCCACGTCATCGAAAGTTCAGCCCATTGTATTGCTGGGCTTGTACAAGTTTGATGGGTCCGCCACCGCCGCCGTGGGCTCGACCTTCCAGGGCCTGCAGTGGAATTTCCTCGTGATTTGCTCCATTTTGTTTCACCGAAGGGAGCTTCAAATGAGAGGGTTCTGGGTCTACCCTGGCAACGAAGCACTCAAGTGGACGCAAACGGCGCTGTGGAGGCGGCTGTTTCGATCCCGACGTTCGTTTAATCTCGACACTAACAGCACAAGGTCGCTGGAGGACCTGCCGCAGCGGGACCCCTTGGCGCTGCCAGACTCCCACCAAATGGACGACATCGAGCGGGCCGACCGATTGGCGCGGATGGACTCGAAAGACTCACTGGACGAGCGCGACTTTGAGCTGGCCGACTACTTGGCCAAGTCCCACGAGCCAACTCTATCAAACCACCAGCCATCCCATTCATCCACGGATTTATCGACGCACGTCGCGCGCCTCCTGGAAAAGGACGAGCTGCCGCCATTGAAGTTGAATCCACTGGCGCCGTCGTTCGATTACGACAGCAGCAGCGACAGCAGCGACGACGACGAAAAGGCAAGACCATCATCCCCTCAACACCGTGCAGACAAAATATACAAGCCCCCAGGGCATAGAACCACGGACCACCTCCCGATGCCGCAGGGCTCCAACCAACCGCAGCGCCAACTTGTCAAGAAGAATCGGTTTCAGTGGTGGCTTTCGCACCATGTACGTCATATATTCCTCGATGCTGCTTTGGATCGACTAGCTTTGAATCAAGTGGCTACACTAGATGCCGCCGTGGATGCTGCGGTACTACGACGCTCTACTACCTCAGCCGCCGCTTCACTGGGACAAAGACATCAAGTGCGCAGTCACCGGGTCCAAACCTGGTCGGGACTTCCTCTTAGTCGCGTTTGGGCTGCAGGTTGGCATCATGGCGTACATTGTACTATTTTTCCACCAATTTGGCAGCCCCGTCGAGACGTCGGCTTTGTTTTCGCTGTCATCGTCGTTTCAAACGTCGCTCTTGTCAGGGTACATGGTGGGTCTAGTCTTTTTCCAGGTTGTGGTCGTGCTGTGGGATCGCGTGGCGTACGTGTACACGTCGTTGCTGTCCAAGTTGCTAAGCCACTACTTCTTGGTCGTGGGGGTGCATATCCAGCTGTGGCTTGTGCTGCCGCTGCACACGGGGGTGTACTTGCATGCGAGCCCGTTTCTGGTCGGTTTGTACCTGCTGCAGTGCTGCGCCATGGGGGTGAGTGCTGCCCAGCTAAAGCACGGCTATGTTGTGTTTCGAGGTAACAAACAACCCAGTCTTTGTGTAAAGTTAGTGATGTATTTTAGGCAACCCGTTCAGCCTTCGCCATGCCACGTCTGCGTTCAAGACGCTATTTAGTGTGTACATGGCCATTCCGTTTGCCTTTGAAGTGCGGACGCTGCTAGACTACCTGTGCTCGACCACAGCCCTGGACATGCAGCTGTGGCTCGTGCTCGAAGGCATCGGCGCCCACTTGTTTCTAGTCAAGATGCAAATGGAAGGCAGGGTCCAAGACGGGTACATCTTGCAGGTATTCCTTTCACGTTTTAGACTGTTGGCAGTTTGCCGTTTGTGTGTCATGGCATTCCACTGGCTTGACGTGGCACGCATATTGTTTCCTCTGTGGTTTTGGCATTTCTGTTGTGTTTGCACATTTCGTTCAAGACAGTTCTGTGTTGGATGTGCGCACATGTCAAGCCCGTGCACGAATTGTAGGTCAGTGATTTTCATGATTGTGGTTGTTCTGGACTTATAGGGCAACATGCGGCAACCTGTGCTAGCTAAATTCAAGTCTGCGGGGGTGTACTTTATGGCGCTGGTCGTGTGCCTCCTTGCCCCTATGATCATGTTTAGCACGGCCAACCCGACTACGATCAACAACCCAGTACTGCACGCGACCATGACGTTTGGCCTGCTGCAGCCAGATGGGACCTTTCAACAGCTTTACAACAGCGGTAACCCGTTCATTTCATGCCGAAATCAGTGAATCAAACTATCTATGGCTACAACTACCATAACGCCATTAAGGCGTCTGTTTATCATTGGAATTGCCGTCACATCGTTGGCTGTAGAGGAGAATGAGAGCCCTTTGACAACCAAGGTCGTCGTGGCCAACGTCGAGACACTTGTCCAGCAAGTTTCTTTCATGGAGTACTCGAACGACATGTGGAGCAGTTCGCCGCCCCTTCGCCGCCGCCTCATGACGCGGCTGAACTCGACCGAAGGGATCCAATGGCGCATGACCATCACGCTCAAACGCGCGGCCCCCGACGGGCAACAAATTGTACGATAAAAAAACCTTGGTTTTGTTCATGTGGTTTTCATTTCGTAGGTGGCGTATGACATGGTGACCAGCATCACACCGGCGCAGCGCACCAAGCTGATGCGCATGATGGACGTGTCCTTGACCGATGAATCCACAGCCAACAGCATGAGCTCCGGCATTCTGACCATCCCGGATATGTACCCCCCTGTCCTGAACGTACCCGCCGCGACCCCCCCGACGGCTAGGGGGCCCTACCTTCCTCGGGCCATCCAGGTACTATATTGTACCACTAGTATCAGGTTTAGAATCATAAGGTGGTTTTACAAACGTGATCAACGACAGATTCAGCGGTCGACTGAAGCAAGCGGCAGCTTTTGGACGCTGTCGTCTGCAGACGCGTGGGCGTATGGCAACCCTTCCACAGAGTATGCACATTACCGACTTCAATGCATTTATTTATACGTGGCACGCTGTGGGCAAATCACGCTTGACGACCGTAATGAATACGCTAGCTCGATTGACAATGCCACCATGGTGCAGTGCCAAGTGCGCGGCTTTTGCTTCTTTGTCGTGTCGGACAACATCGTCGCGGGCTTGACGACGTTGGGCATTGGCACGTACGGCATCACCGCGACCTATGTGTTTGTACGACCCAACTAGTGTGGGTTAGGGTTGTCCTAAATTAGTGTTAGGTGATATTTACCATTGGGGGGTATGTCAAGAACGCTCTGCGCGGGTCCGTCACGGATGTCTTGTACAACGAACTGCCCAATCCCGACGATTTGATGGACTTGGTCGAGGTATTTGTTCTGTTTCGCAATTATATATTTACAATTGGTGTATTGTCCGCAGGGGATTTACATTGCCCGAACAGAGGTGTACATTGGTCATTTGAAGGTACGGGATAATGTACTGCTACGAAAGTTGATGTGAAAGACTACTAGTTGGTCGTGTAACTGTTGTGGTGGCTTGTAGGACGAAGCAAGGCTGTTTGAAACACTCATACGTGTGTTGCGGTCGCCAGAAACGCTGCTCAAAGTCACGGGGCCGAACATCATTCACATCCCAAGCAAGGAGAAACTGGATTGATATTGTGAACTAACGTTACTGCATTAGTTTCATGATCCTTGACAAAGTGCCCCCACTCGTGGTTTGTAGTCTACGATGGTGGTTACTACTACGTAGTATAAAAACTCAATTTACTGCTAACAGGAAGTAAGACACAGGCGGGAGAGCTTCCAAATCAACATTTTTAACCTCCGAAACTTGGAGATTGTAGCTGAAATAATGGTTTACAACTATATACCGAAAATATTGTGTTTTGTAGTCGTGTTGTATGAGAAAAACAAGAAAACCAAAGCAAATTTGATACCGATTTGAAAATCAAGTTAAGTCACATATTATTATCTTAATCAAAGTATCTTCATTTGCTTAGAATTTTGGTGTGTAGGGTATTGCAGTACAGAGCTATACAATCAATTTGCACGGGTTATCAATTCGCATGAAGGTTTGGAAGCTGGATGAAAATGGTACTAAGTATTTCAAAAAGCAACAGTGGTCATTGTTCCCCTCCCCCTTTTGTTACAAGTTCTCAAAATATTATATCAGGACTTACTGGATGACATAGTGCCGTCATGTGCACAATGCAGATTGAAGTTGACATCTGCGGGCGAAGTGGCAGTCTGACAGCGTCCAATCTTTCCATAGCAAACTCTCTACGTATTATATGTCAGAGTGTATAGGTTGATACAGGGTTTTGAACATTCCACAAATTGGTCGTTACACAGATTGCGAGAATAATTGAGCGACGCCGCCGCAGACATGAGGCAGATCCACGTGTCATCCCCAGAGCTAACGAACGAGGCAGTAGACCAGGCTATTGAACTCACGCTAGAGGAGACCTGGGACGCGCGAGGCCAAGACGAGACCGTGTACGTTGAGAAGCAGTTTGAGCTGTACCGGTCGGTCTCGCCAACGTCGACGCTGCCCAAGTACTACATCAAAGCATGGTTCCCGTACTCGGCGGACACGCTGTTTAACGTCCTGCACGACTTCAAGTACCGCAAAACGTGGGATTCTTCTGTCAAGCAAGCTTACGTTGTGGACGTCCGGCCAACGCCCGATGCGGACGACATCGATGTCGTGTACTGGTGCGTCAAGATGCCGTGGCCGTTCTCGAACCGGGACTACGTCTACTACCGTCGCACGTTGCTGCTCAAAGACACATTCGTCGTGCTGTCCCATGCTGGGATGCACCGCGACGCCCCCGAGTTCCACTCGACCCAGCGCGTAGAAGTGTTTCACTCGCATATGGTGATCCGCGTCGCCGGCGTCAGCAGCTGCGAGCTCTTTCTCGCGTACTCGGACGAGTCCAGCTACGCCGTGCCCAACACATGCATCAACTGGGGTCTCGCCACGGGCCTCCCGTCGTACCTGAACGACTTGCGCGCCGCGTGTACGTCGTACGCCGACTACATCCGCGGGCTCGACGACGATGGTCTCCAGAGCATTCCGTCGCAGCTCGTTCGGAGCCGAATCGACCGCCGCAACGTGCTATCCCGGGCTCCGGGACAGTCGTCGTCGCTGCGGGGATACCACAAGTCTTCGGCAGCCACCACTGTTGGCCCCTCTCGCAGCAGCCGGCCCCTGCAGCACCAACCGCATCTCCAGCACCTCCGTCCGGCGTTCCATCGGTCCAAGTCGGCGTCGGACGCGCTACCCGCTCCCGTGGACGTGGACGTCGTCGTTGAATTCCGAACGGCGTCCCCCGGCCTGGTTCTGGAGCCGCATCTCCACAAGGCAATTGTGGGCACAACCACGGACAAACACTCGGAAGCCACCAAGGCCAAACTAGTACCCGGGCTCGTCGTCGTCGCAATAGACGGCCAGTCGGTGCAGGACCTGACGTTTCCAGACGTGCTGAGTCGACTCGAACGTGCGCATCCCCCCTTCACCGTCTGGTTCAACCGACCACGACCCATGTCCACCAGCACGTAAGACCAAACTAATATAGGTTTGTTACTGGTACATGAACATGTCAACGTTTTAGGCGACCACCTACCATGACCACAGGGGCGACGCCTAGCCCACGGAATCGAGCAACGTCGCTCTCGTCGACCTCTAAAACATCTCTGGTTGTTGTGGCGGTGCATTATGCCGACGCCCTTGGCGACGTTCTCGGGCCTCAGAACCCCTCGACCCAACAGGGTGCGGTGCTACTGGCCAGTCGATTTGGGCTGGACGTTGGATCTATTCTGGCATCAATCGACAACATTCCAGTGCCGGATGTGGCGTTTCCAGACATTGTCGGGCGATTCCGACGGTCCACTGACGTCCGGCACGTCGCCTTCGCCCCCCCGCCCCCCACTGCCCCCTCCAAGACGAAGCTGCGCGTGTCGCTGTCGTCCAAGCTGTCGAGGGCGTTCAAAGGGGACAAATCGGTACCCAGCACCCCCACTTCCCCCAAGGCGCCGCCAAAGCCCGACCACCAACCACCTCCCGCCGACGACGACGACCAAGCGTTGCGGGACGTGCTGCCAGACTACACCCACATCAAAGTGACCATGGCCAACGTCGAGTGGGTGTGGGCCCACGTCCAGATGCTCATGTCGGACGAACGGCTGTTCTCGGCCGCAGAACTTGCAGACAAACTCCATGCGTTTGTGCAAATGGCGCCGCGTCCGCCGGGGTCGAAGGCCGCCGACACGTTGGACAAGATTGACGGGGAAATGGCGGCGCAGGACGCCCGACTGCGCCAAGTGACCACGAGACGCGACCTCGGCAACGCCGCACTCCACGAATTCAATGCCGACGAAGCGGCCGGTTGGCGGTTCGGCCAAACCTACTTTGGCGTCTCCACCCACTGGAAACCAGGTCCGTACAACATGTTGTGCAGAAGAAGAGGTCGATATGTATCTATCTGCCTAGCAAGAACACGAAGATGTCGTGAATGGCAATGATATTGTCATTTTACCGAAAAAAATTGACCTTTTTGTGCTGATTCGCCAAATTCATCGATCGATTCGTTGTACTGACTTTTGTATGGAACAATCCTTCAGTGTCACACTAATTGACGTCACACACACACTAATTCGAAGTTGCCTTGGTCGAAGAGTGGATGATTTGATTGGCTACTTGATTCGTGTTCTGGGTTTTGATTGGTCGATATATCATCGATTGTCTGCCGTTTGATTCTTCTTCTCGTTGGATTGAGCACCGGAGTTATTTTCGACTTGACAATACTATTGCGTGTTTGGTATCTGCGATAACGATCGATGCAGCTAAACTCGACGATGCTACCGTTCTACCAGCTATGTTCGATTCGAAATTGGAGTGGTATTGTGAATTCGCTATAAACTTCCAAAATTCGCGCGATTTGTTCAATCAATATTGAATCACGCTAGACTTCTGATTGGTTGAATATACTTGTCCTTTCTGTAAGAGCCAATCAAATTGACTATAGATTAGCCAATAGCGTTGATTCGTGATTCGATTCGGCGGCGAGATTCGATTCGACGGGGTCTGGAAATTCGTATCAAATCCACAATATTTGGGTGCTCAATCGAATGAGCAGAATCACCAAATAGGCAGAGAATTGATGATATATCGACCAATCAAAAACCACAAAACATGAATCAACTACCGTATTTGTCGTACCTTTGTACCATAGAATTCCGTTTGAAGAATTTATTTAAATATTCGAATTGTATCATTGATTCGAGATTATATTATGGAATTATATTCGCGTTTTGTATTTCGTGGTGCAGATCAACGACAAATACGGTAGCCAATCAAATCCACTCTTCGAATAAGTCAACATCGAATTAGTGTGTGATTGAAATTAGTGTGATACTGGACGATCTTTACAAAGTCAGGACAAAGAATCGATCGATAGATTTGGCAAAGAATCCGCACTAAAGTCCAAATATTGGGTAAAAGAAAGACAATAACAACATCATCATTCAACTGTTTTTTTTTCTAGAAACATACACCATCGGCATGATTGCTTTGGAATTGTATATACATATATATATATATATATTGTTGTGGTTCAAACTGTTGGAGTAGTAGCAGTATATATATATATATTGCGACTGACAATATTGGTGTAGGCGACGACGGGACAGTGTGGCTCAAACTAGATGGCATTTGCGAAGGCGTGGACGTGTTCAATGCGATGGCAGTGATTCGGGAGACCGACTTGTTTGCATTGTGGGCGCCATGCTGCAACAAGTCGGCGCTGCTGGCGTCGCTGTCCCGGGTCGAGATCTTGACGTATGCCAGCATTGCGATCCCGCTCATGCAGAGGGACGCCGTGATCCACGCGTTTGGCATCAACGCCGTCTATGAACACCGATGCGTGCTCCTCTTGGGCCAGTCAGCGACCCAGGAGGACCACCCGACGGTCCCGTTCCCCGCCGTCAAGGGCTGGAATGCCGACCGCATGCACATCCGGGCCTTCCGAGCGCTCATTGAGCCTTATGGCCGCAACCGCAACCGAACGTGTACGCTTTCATCTGTGTCAACGTTTATGACTTGGATATGTAGTTGGATATACTACGTGGTTACGTTTATGCCTTGAAAGTCGATATGTGGCTACATTTGTGTTGGCAGTAGCCATCGTACGCTTATGGTTGCGATATGGTTTACTTTCCCTTTGGCTAGTGGAGTCTAATATTAGATATTTTTATATATATATATCATTGTCGTGTATAATGCGTATTCTAGGCATTGTTGTGAATGTCGACCCCAAGTGCGCCGTGCCGACGTCGTTGCTCAACTTTGCGATCAAGAAAATGGCTGGCATATTGCTCTACTTGCTCCTCCGAGAAGCGCAAAAGATTGAAAAGCACTCGACCGAGTTTGGCGTGCTGGACGACCAAGGCGACCCCCACTTTAACCCGTATGTGGCGCGCATCCGCCGCGATCCGTTCTACACGTGGCTCAAGCCGCGCATGGACAAGTGGTTTGGTCACTTGGACGCTGGTACAGAATCCCCTCCCCGTTTGTCCCCCCTTGTACAAATAGACCCATCTTACTTATAGACGTACTGTATTTATCATCTCCATAGGCACGTTGCCCCCGGCGCGATCGGCGCCGCTGCTCCAGCATCTCGTCCCGGGCAACTTGTACGGCCAACGCATCGACGAAGCGGCGGCGTCGATGCCCCGCCGCCGCCGCCACCCGTCCACCAAGTCGCAGCATCCCCCACGCCGCCCCCTACTCGACTACTTGTACGTCGTGCCCGTGTGGCCGTACGTGGCACTGGCAGTCGTCTACTCGATGTGCATCACTCGACAGTCGACGTACATGGCAGCTTGTGCGTGGAAAGCCACACTCGCGGGTTTCTTGGCCTGGTTTGGCGTGTCCAGTGTCCTTCCTTGGCAAGTTCGCCAGCAAGGTATTATGACCCAGTACTGTAGTCGGGAAAGGGAATAAGCATCTAGTATGTGTAGTGCCAATGGCAGCGTCGGTCCAGTGGTGGCGGTGGCGGGTGGTCGCGTACGCGGTTGCGGCGGACGTGATTGGGTCGGGGTGTGTCATGCTGTGGGTTCGCCACGTATCGTGCTGGGTCAAATCGTGTACGGCAGCTGACCCAGCGGTGGCCAGCGTCCACTTTTGGCTGGTCGCTAATTCGTTTCTAGAGGCCACGGTGCTCTTGGTCATGCAATTCGTCGTGTGGCTCCATGCCTAAGTACCCGGCCGTCCCAGTCTCCTGACTCGAACGACCTTTCGAAAGTAGTGCCAGTGGATTTGCAGGATCCTTTAGATGCATGATGGAAGAGGATCCAACACTCTGAAATCAACTCATATTAATACTATGAACGCGGATCAACGCCACCAACCCTTGAACGTGTTATGATGAAACCGCGTTTCAAGGACCAAACGGTGTCACAGACTTCAGACACGCTGTGGCTTGTACTACGCCGAGGTTGGGGAATGACGTGTTGGTCATGAAGAGCGTGACCTTTCATCAGTGATCAACTCCGTTGATTGGCGCATGTCTCGTGTTCAGTTGCCACTTCATGACACTGGTCTTTCAAACGGTGTCGATTAGATGATTTGATTGCAAATCCAATGAAAAGAGTTCGAACTGGGGCAAACACTGATAAAACCGGCGACTCAAGCCGTACTTCGATGATTGGCCATTAGATTAAGTGACAGAGCTACAGTTCCCAACGGTGGCTTGTCAATGACGATGGGAGCTCGTATATCTTTATGCCATCAACTTGGACGCGATGGACGCTACTCGTTCTCCGAGTCCGAACGCTTTGTCGAGAAAGAGCGGGGCGATGGCATTCGTGTGGAGAGGCGAACTATAACATACAGATGGGTATGGGGATGTTGAAGAAAACGGGCCTTCGCCGACGATTGCAGAGGCCCCAAACGCACTACGACAGCAATCACATCAATGTCAAGTTAGAACGCTACATAGTTGGTTAGTTTGAATGTACTGTACACATCCCAACTTAAGGACTTGTCTACGCGTTGAAAAGACGGGTGTGTACCTCGTCCAGGCTGCCCCACCCACCACCACGAGACGCAGCACCAACATGGACCGCAGCAGCGCCAACTGGACGGCTTCTTCGCCTGCACTCAGCCCCCCTGCGACGACAAACGAGCCAGCAACTTTGTCGCCGAGGTCGTGCTGGATGTCCCAAGTGTTGATCCATTGCATCAAGGTAGGATCGATGTTGGCGTTGTACACGTTGGAGCCAACGAGGATGCCGTCTGCCCAGAGCACGTCGCCTTGGAAGGACGCGTTGGACGGATGTAAGACACGCACATGTGGCGACACCGTCATGGCTCCTCGCGCGACTTCCAAGCCAAAATCACGGAGGTTGTCGTCGCCTGCATGCACAATGAGGATGTTTGGAGCTCTAACGGCTTCCAGTCGAGGTGGCAAAGGACTGCCACGGGTCGGCAACGCAGCGCCGTTAGTGACAGGACTTGCAAGAAGTCGGAGTGGACGCAGCATGGACACGACTTCGTTTGTAAGGAGCGCGACATACATTATCAAGACGAGGGCCATGATACTGACAACCAACGTGGTGTATGACACAAGCCGCGACGGCCTGCTCACCCGCGGCGCATCGGCTGCGACGCTTCCGTACATGACAACCCTGGCAACGGATTATCCGGATATGTGTGATATACGGATCAACGAATTTACTTAAGTTATTAACCTTCTCAATGAAATTCAACCAATCAGATCGATTGTGGATCGGTTTGGTCGGCGCGATTCGATTGCACCCCTTCCCCAAATTTGTATCAAATCGACAATACAGTGCGCACCATGTACTTAAAGCCACCCTGTTTTTCTGTGCTATCAGCAGTTTATGCGTTCAATTCGCCCAAACGGATTGTGTTATCATCGCAATGGTGGTCATGGGCTACTATGCAGGCTGTTGGAGTGAATCAAATTGAACACTTCGCGAAAAATAGACAGAAGTCAAATTTGGGGTGCGACAGGTACAGTACAGTACTTAAAGCCACCTTACATATTTCAACAAATTCAAAGAAAAATGTCCAGGATTATAGCACTTTTATGCTACTAGTACTTCGTCTTGTCCCCACGTGCAAGCACAACTTCACTGCAGCGCTTAGGCATTGATGCAATGAGCTTATTAAGGTAGGATTGTGACAAGCTATTCCAAGCCCTTTTAATCGCCGAAATTAGCGCTTCTTTCGTCATAAATTGACGTCCGTTCGCATACACAACACGAGCAAGCAGCCCCCACAAGTTTTCAATAGGGTTTAAGTCGGGCGACAGAGCAGGATGCGAAAAAAGCTCCACATGCTGCTCCTTGAAAAACTCCAACGACATCTTCGACCGATGGATAGAGGCACCATCTTGTATGAA